ACCAATCCCTGGTAGTAATTCTAAACACAGGGAGTTAGCAGTGCTAGAAACAGATGGTTTGCAAAAATATGCTGCTAACTTCAGACAGTGCAGTTAATTAAAAGAGCTTTAGTCGAAAAGTAAAATCAGCTAACAGAACCTGCTCTGTTCTACCCAAGACCAGGACAGGTACCTGAACTGAATCTCCTAAGCACCGAGTCCAACTCCAGCTAATGCCTTGCAGGCTACAAGCCCTCTCCTGTATGAGCTGGACTGAAATACTCTGGACCATCCATGGGGGTGTGTGCTGGAGCCAGGCAGGTGCCCAGGGATGCAAAAGTTGGAGGAGAGTGGACAGGAGGGGGAAGAGTGGGACCAGCAGGTGCTGGGGGACCACCAGCTCTGTCCCATGACACACAGCTGTAGCATGGAGGGTGCTCCACTGCCCATATGTCCCTCTGCAAGGGGCTGAGGTGTGTCCTGACATCCTTTCCCTTCTCCTCTGCATTTACCCAGTGAAGTGCTTTGGTGGAATATCCAAAAGCCACGAGTGGTCTGTTAGCCTTCACCTTCTGTTTGGGAAACCAGAATGGCTGCAGAAATCCTGGGAATGCCTCCCCGTGTCCTTGCTGGGGCAGGGGCAGTGCCCCTCCGCACAGCTGGGAGATGCTCTCACCCCAGATTTCAGAGCCCTTCTGGAAGCCTCGCCAAATCACGCGAGCCTCCAAATGAAACCCACCGCTTTTGTTTAGCATTTGCTGTGCTTGGTGATGAAACGATGATGGATTATTTCATTGTGGTTACTAGCGTGCCAGACTTCTTTTTCCAAACACACAATAGGAATATTCATTTACTGCTCTGACGACGAACACTTTTATCCTCCTTATATAGTAACAACTCTGCACCAAAGGGCGAGTTCCATTTGTCAATGATACACTTCACCATCCCTGCTCATGGCCCCATGGTTGGCTCATGGTTTCCCCAAGCTTCTCTGATTCATTATCAGCCTTTTCCATCTGATCCCACCCTCAGTGCCATCTGCCCACTGCACCCAGAGGGGCACAGCGTCATCTGGGGCAATATGAGAGGGCTGGGGTAACTCCCTGAAAGGAAGAGGGGAAGCAGAGCTGGGGCTGCTCCCTTGGAGGCAAGAGCACAAGATGCAGGATGGGGATTCAACGGGATGGCGAGGGGGCCCAGAGCACCAGCGTGAAGGGACTGTGCTTTCAAATCCGAAGGTGGCGAATCCAAAGCGGATAAAAGGAAGTGTTCTTTTTTTCTCACTTCGTGCTTAATTAGGCTGCCACAGGAAAATGCTCAGGCCAAAATTTAGCAGGATTCAAAGAGGGATTGGGCATTTATGGGGATAGCAAAAATATCCAGCTATAATAACGGATGCCAACACAAATTCTGGAAGGGATATTAGTCCTCACGCGTCAGGGTGTAAACCTATCCCCAGCTCAGAAAGTCGGGAGCTCAGCATGGAGGCAGATGACACTCATACGCTACCGCTGCCACCGCCTCGCTGCTGGCATGGCCCACGCTGGCCAAGCCACGGGCTGGACCTTCCCTGGAGCCCCGTTTCCTGCTCCCGGCAGCGCCTCTGACAAGGGCTGAGAATTTCTCTTGGCAGTTCAGCCCTTCACTTGTAGCTTTCTGAGGCCATGTGGCTCTCAGGGCTCAGATCTCTGCCTTCTCACCCATCCACGCACTTTGCCAGCTGATAACAGCCTTATCACTTCAACGAGAGGCAGAACCTCTTGGAAAGGATCTGTGCAGACCACGGGCATATTCCTGGGTGGTGTGACACCTTCCCACAGCTTCTTGCTTCCAGTCTCACCCTTCATTTCCCCCCAATTCACTTGTTTCCAAAATGCACCTTCGCCGCCTGATTCCATCCTTCCTGTTCCCTGGTTTTGCTGGGGCCAGTCTCCAGCCTCTGAAAGGGGCTGCTTAGCTCCAGCATCTCATGGGTGCTGCATGTACAGAGGCACAGCCTGGCTTTCATGGGCACTGTCAGATGAACCCTGGGTCATCTCTCACACAGAGCCTTCCTCACCCGCTCTGCATCAGTGGCAATGGCCGTACTGCTTGCCCCTGACTTAGAAAACCCCACTGTCACCCCCAGCACATGTGTGGCCACAAGCCTGGCCTGGCTGCAGCCCAGGCTGGGGTGAAACTGCTGTGCTGAACCCAGGAGCTGGGTGTGAGCATCTCCGTCCTCACTGAGGATGGTGCCTTCGCATCCTACACCGGCTGCTAACAGGGCGCCTGTGCCGCTTCAGCCCCTGAGGGATGGGAGGCTCTTGAAACCTTGGCTGCTGTGAAGCATCAGAGATAGCTCAGTGCAGCCAGAAGGGAGACTGAAGCTCCCCTGGTCAGGGTCCAGAATCTTCTGCATTTGCCGCTTGCATGCTCACCACACTGCCGAGGGCAACCCTGCTGGGGTCCCTTGGATCTCCTCCCGCTGAGGAGCCTTGCACCCACAGGGGCTTCCAACTGGAGACATTTCTGGAGGGCATGAATCAGCTTTTCACAGCTTGTTAAAAATCTTGATCCTACCTCTTGTTTTCATGCCTTTCAAATCAGGAAATGAGTTTTACAACTTTTCCAGTGGGGCACAGCTGGTGGCCAGGGTCGTAAAGCTGAACTTTATAAATATCTCTTGTTGGGATCAGGAGAAGAGCATTATAAAGGCAGAGAGAGAGAGAGAAAGAAAGAGAAGGGAAACGAGCAAAGGCAATAGAGAAGCAAGGCAACCTCTGCAAAGAAGCCCAGCTCAACACCGGCCATGGCCATGCGAGTGCAGATGGGGTGTGCTTGGGGCAGGCTTTGTCTGCTGCTCTTCCTTCTCCAGCTGCCAGGTTCCCAGGCCAAGTGCTACTTCCAGGCTAAAGGTAAGTGGGGAGGTGAGACAGGAAGAGGCAGATGGGAAGAGGAGGCCTCAGCTTTTCCCAAGGCAGCGGGGCTCTGTGTGCCTGCAGAGTGCAGAAGGGACTGTGCTGAGCTCAGGAGCACACTGTAGGCCAGTGATGAGTGGAAGGAGCAGTCTATAAACCACAGAACAGCTCCCCAGGGCTCTGGCTGAGAAACAGCTCGCTGGGCCATGAGGAGCTCCTGGCAGGAGCCTGGCTGGAGCCAAGTGTGCAGGACTAGCAGCAGAGGGAGGAGGGCTACCCATCTTCCCCCTGTGGTCTCCTTCCAGGGCTGCAGAGATGCTCAGACCCCAAGGGGTGATGGGTATGCCCTCTCCAGGGAAGCAAGACCCTCTTGCCTCTGTCCTAGGCCCCCAGGGTAGTGGGGAGAGCTGCAGGGCACAGCCAGGAGAAAATGGATGGGAGCATTGCCATTAGCAGATGCCTGGGCATCCCATACCTGCAGCATGGTAGAGAGGCCACCAAGTATTTTCTGTTCCACAGGGAGACCATGATGCCCCTCCTGCCCCCTCTTTCAGGGCACAGGGGTGCCAAGAAGGCTCCCACGTGCCCTAGTGCAGGTCCACATGTTCTCGTCACCACTGTTTCCTTTGCAGCTCCCTGCGAGTACGAGGGGAAGCAGTTCTCCCTCGGGGAGTCATGGCTGAGTACCAACTGCCTGCTCTGCACCTGCCTGCACCCCATCGGCGTGGGCTGCTGTGAGACGTGAGTGAGGGGCCGAGGGGCGCTGGGGGTGGGCTACTGCTGGCCAGTGCTGCCTGCCCTGGCACCTCTGCAGCCCCAGTGGAGAGGGGGTCCTGTGCGTCTGGCGGCTGCAAATGCAGCCGAGCAAATATCAGAGCCCCGTCGGACTGCAGGATGCCAGGCCCTGGGGAATGAGGAGCAGGAGGGGAAGAGTCCACCGGGGTGTTGAGGGTGGTGGGGTGAGTGGCAAAGACAAAGCGGGGGAAAAGGGTGGCTCAGCACAGCGAGATGCGCACGTGTGCCAGAAGCTGTGTCGCA